GTATAAGCCAAGGAGGAAAGATACGGTCTTTCCTCAACCTGAGTCCCAGCGAAAAGCAGAGCTTTCTGAAGGAGGAGTATTTATTTATTTATTTTTAAAGATTTTATTTATTTGACAGAAGCGTGCAAGCACAACTAGGCAGGCAGGCAGAGGGTGAGGGAGAAGCAGATTCCAGAACCCTGGGATCGTGACCTGAGCCGAAGGCAGACGCTTAACTGACTGAGACACCCAGGTGCCCCAGAAGGATGAGGTTTTAAAGAAAGAGAACTTAAAATAGGCTGTTTGCTGAGGAATTCAAGCTGGAGACTGTCTTTATTTTTTAAATTTTAGTATTTTAGACTTATTCATTTATTTGACAGAGACACAGCGAGAGAGGGAACACAAGCAGGGGGAGTGGGAGAGGGAGAAGCAGGCTTCCCACGGAGCGGGGAGCCCGATGCGGAGCTCGATCCCAGGACCCTGGGGTCATGACCTGAGCCGAAGGCAGACGCTTAACGGACTGAGCCACCCGGGCGCCCCGGAGACTGTCTTTAAAAACCAGAGCACGGTTTTCAAAGTACCTTAAATAGTGAAATGAAGGACAGCTTTTTAAGATATTGTTTGATTCCTGCTGAATTTAGAATTAAACCAACCTTTTCTCCTCAGGTCAGACCTGCCCAGGAAGTTTATGGGAAAAGGGGATATGTACGACTATGATTTCTTTCTCCCGATTTTACTCTATTTAATCTGTTTAGACACAGCCTCCCACCTACCAGCCACTGCCTGTGTCCAGTTTTTAGAGTACTTTTAGGTTTACCGAAAAACTGAGCAAAAAGTAGAGTTCCCCTAAGTCCCGCCCCCACCCAGAAATTCCCATTAACCCTTACCTTGATTAGTGTTTTATATTTGTTACAAATGATGAATCAACACAGTATTGTTATCTACAGTCCGCCCTTTATATGAAGCTCCATCCCTGTGCGTTGTCTGGGCTATGACAAATGTGTAATGACATCGATCCGCCATTACTGTGTCAAATGGAATAGTTTCACTACCCTGAAAGTCCCCTGTGCTACCCACCCACCTCCCCCACTCACCTCTGGCAACCACTGTTTGGTTTGTTTTTGTTTTTTTTTTTTTTTACTCCGTCCCTTGTTTAGTCTTTTCCAGAATGTCCTAGGGTTGGGGTCCTTTTCAGACTGGCTGCTTTCATTTTGTAATAAGCATTTAAGGTTCCTCCTTGTCTTTTCGTGGCTTGAGAGCTCATTTCTTTGTAGTGCTAAAGTGCCACTGTGTGTGGAAGTTTATCCATTTTATCCATTCATCTATTAAGGACATCTTGGTTGCTCCCAATTTGGGGCAATGATGCATAGAGTTGCTATAAATATCTGTGTCCTGCTGGCAGGCGTGGACCTAAGTTTTCAATTCCTTTGGGAAAATTCTGAGTAGTGCGGTTGCTGGATTGTATCACATGGAGAATTTTTAGCGTGATTTGCAAAGATTTCTCTTTGGTCAGCGGCTTTAATCAAAACTGTTTTTTTAAAGATTTATTTATTTGACAGAGACACAGCGAGAGAGGGAACACAAGCAGGGGGAGTGGGAGAAGGAGAAGCAGGCTTCCCGCGAAGCAGGGAGCCCGATGCGGGGCTCGATCCCAGGACCCTGGGACCATGACCTGCGCCAAAGTTAGACGCTTAACGACTGAGCCACCCAGGCGCCCTTCAATCAAAACTTTTTAAAGGTGTAATGTACATAAAGTGCGCTCATCTTAATGGATGCTTTGAACTTTTGTATGTGTGTGTAATATACGAGATCAAGATACGGAGTGTGTCGAGCACCTCTGTTTACATACCATCTCAGGCAGTGTCCTCTCAACTACCCGCAGACACTCCTCTGACTTCTAGCACCATCCCTTAGTTCTGCCAGTCAGCCAGCTCCCACCCTGCTTTTGAAAGCAAATTTTTTTTTGGGGGGGGGTTGGCGGGGAAAGGGGCTGTTAATAGCAGTATGCTTTATTTTGGCTTGAACAGCACCTAATTTCCTCATTGTTCATGCGGGTCTGGAGCAGAGAGGTTGGCACAATTTCTGGGTAAATATTTTCGACTGCAGGCTATCGGATGAATAAGTATGGCTGCGTTCCAATAAAACTTTACAGAAACAAGAAGTGGGCCAGATTTGGCTCCTGGGCCAGAGATTATGAATCCAGTGTACGGCAGGGCTTTTTCTTTGCAAAATCCAGCTTTGGGCCGCCCTCCAGGTCTGACCCCACGTGCCCTGGGAGGGGTGGCCTTGTGCACCTCCTAAGGTTTCCTCAGTTGGCTTTCATGCACATTCCAGGCTGAGAACCTTCAGAGTTTTCTCCAAGGAGGAAGACCGCAGTTGTGGGGCCCAGGACTGTGAAAATGGATTTAAACTTAAACAGAAGCCCAGCCAGACTCTCCCCACCTTGACCACCCTTGAAGTAATCTCCTCTCCCGTTCACAGTCTGTCCTCCCCTCCTGCTCGCCTCCAGTAGCAGGCTCCTTCCCACCTGGCAAGTGGAAAGCACTGTTAAACTTGAGGAAAGAGAAAGGTTCTTTGGTGACGTGGAGGGACGGGGCGATGCGTAGAAGTCAGGAGACGTGGGGGACCCCTGCAGAGGTGAAGGTCTGCCCCTGGCCAGTGAGAGAGAAAGTTGTGGTCAGGTGGGGAATTTCGCAGCTGGGCTCCTTGGAGGTGGATCAGTTTCGAGTGACTGAGGGCTGAGGTAAGCTTGTCACGGTCCCTGAGCTCGGTCTGGGTTTCGGGCACTTTCTATGTGCCACCTTCACTTGATCTTTTAATAGTGAGGAAGTGGCCACTGTCAGCATTCCCGTTTTACAGAAGTGGAGACTGAGGTGTCCAGGGGCTGTGCAGCTGAGGGCGGGCCGCAGAGCTGCTCTGAGGTTGGCACCAGGACTTGAATGCTGGCCATCTGGCACCTCTGGCCTGGTTGCCTCTCCTGGGTGCCTGGGAGGCTGGAGTTGGAAGCCAGTGGCTTTGGGAGGTGGAGGGGACTGTCAGTGCGTGTGTGTGTTCTGTGGCCTCAGAGGTGACAGAGCCCGGGGGGATGGAGGACCCCATGGCAGGGAAGGGTGGACAGGTGTAAGCCATGGCCTCCACAACTCTCAAAACCAGGAAACTGGTCTGAGAGCACTTGAGTGTTGGCAGGGGCCACAGGCTGGGCAAACTCCAGAGGTGGACTGGAGGAGGGTTTGGCAGGTGGCCCAGAGGACGGCCTGCATCAAACGGGATGAAAGCAGTAGAGTGCCCTCGGCATCCTTTTCTACTTCGGCTTTGTCTGAGTAATGATAGTAGCCATGGTAATGGTACTTTCCATTACAAGTTAAGGACATCACTTAACTGGGACCCAACTAAGCAGAACCTTCCAACGATGGGAATTTCTCTGCATTTTATTTTAGGAAACCACAGCCGAAAAAAATTGGGTGGGCAGGGCATTTATTCAAATGCATTAACTTCCAGGTTTTACCCTGGAACAGTGGCCATGTGGGTTTCGTACAAGTCTATACTTTTCTACAATACAGACCCAATGACAAGGCTCGACGCAACAAATAACTGGCCGAGAAACTTAAATGCCAGGTGCTGTTGGGGACATAAAATGATCTCCAATATGGCTTCTGCCCTCAAAGAATTTTCGGTTACTGTATAGAGGACTCCTTCATGTTCAGGGCGAAGAGATAAGATTGTATTGAGACATTTAGTTAAAAGATCCTCAGGAAGATTTAAGGTTAAAAGGGTATAAGAGAAGTGGTGCCCGGGTGGCTCAGTTGATTGAGTGTCATACTCTTGGTTTCAGCTCAGGTCTTGATCTCAGCGTCATGGGATGGAGCTCCATGTTGGGCTCCACGCTCAGCAGGGAGTCTGCTTGAGATCCCCTGTGCCCCCCAACCCTGCCACCATGGGTGCGCGCTCTCTCAAAGAAAACAAAACAAAACAATAAAACGTAATAGCAAACATTTATTTAAAAACGAGGGTATGAGAGACCCCAAGGGTATAATCTTCGGGAACATTCCAGATGTGGAGGGTGTACGGGATCATGTCTGACTCTTCAGGGCCGGGTCCGTGTCCCAGGCTCGCTTGCGCAAGGCTGCCCGGAGAGCACAGCATCTGAAAGGCACAGGTGAGAAGCGTTGTGGCAGATAGCTGGGGTTTTGGCACTGCTCCTTCTTCGTTTGGAACATCAGGAGTAGATGCAGAGGTCACTATAAATCTTGCTTCCGAGTCCGTCCTGTTCCCTTGAGAGTCAGAACCGCACAATTCCCTAGGAGTCCAGTTTGCTTTCCCTGCACGGTCCTTCCTCAGGAGGACGTGCGGGTCCCTCCCCGATGCAGCTCCAGGTCTGCTGGCTACCCCTCTGACTTGTGAACCAGCATGAACCACAGCCTGTGCTATTTTATTAGCATTATTAGTCACTGTCATGTAAAAACATCTTCCTGTCGCAACTCTGAATTTCTGGCTTCTCATGCAAACAGCGGGTCTGGCAGTCCTGGGTGAGGCGGCCCGTCCCTTCTGCCTCTCCCTCTCAGCGCTGGCTGGTGCTTTCATTGCCATCTGCCACCTGGCTTGCACCGTGGCTTTCTCCATCTGAGTTCTACCTGTGCTCTACCAAAGTGGATTCCAAAGAGAAAACAGAATGGCATGAGGATCTTCTACCTGGCCCGTGTGTCCCCCCCTCCCCCATCACCTGCCGGACCCCTCTGGGCATGTGTTCTCTCTGCTCTGGATAGGTGGGCAGCCCTTGTGCTCGAGCTAGCCTTGGGTCTCTGGTCTTTCTAGACTTTTCTTTAAAGCAACTGATGCGGGATGAGTCATGATTTCCCTCTATCCAGGAACATGGGTTCCCCAGGGACACGAGATTCTGCACCTGTGGGCTGCAGGCAGCCTGCTCAGTTACTGGCGGAATAACCCAACCTTTTATCTTAAGGAACTGGTCCTATCACTACCAGGTGGGAAGGCAGTGACCACTGTCCTGTTTCACTTCAAAGGTGGCCGAGTTTCGGAGGGGGCCCATGATATTTGGAATCAAATGCGGGGAAAGTACTGGATTCTTCGAGGGCAAAGATGCTGGTATGATAATTACTGTTTCAGGACTTCTGATTTGCTGACGTTCTCAGACCTGCCGCCTGATGGAGCGGGGCTTGAAGTGCCCAGGGCAGAGCGTGGGGAGTCAGAACCCATACAGTGAGTCCAGTGCTTGCGCTCTTGGCCTTTGCAGTGAGGGGGCTTCTGGGTTCTTCCTTAGGCACCCGCTGGCCACCTTTTTCCACCTGTTTTTCCGGGTGAGTGCCATCGTCACCTATGTGTGCTGCGATTGGTTCAGCAGAAGCTTTGTGGGCTGCTTTGTCACCGTGCTCCTCCTCCTGTCCTTTGACTTCTGGTCTGTGAAGGTAAGGCCCCCTCACTCGTGACGCCATCGCTTGTGAACACACGAGGGCTGTGGTCACTGAGGTTCCCGAGGCACGTGGCTGATTGGGGCCAAAAGGTACTTTTCTTTGAAACTGCAGATCCATACTTAGGAATACTGAGCCAACATCACTTAAACATTAAGAGTTAGAAAATGGTCCTGGTTCTCAGCTGCCGTGGTTGCAGATAATGTGTCTCATGAGGGTGGCAACTCCCGACAGCTTGGATTTTTTTTTGGCTAAAATTTGCATATATTTAAAATACATACTGCTACACATTGTTTGGGGGGTGTGCATGTGTGCACGGGGTCGGGAGGTCACTGGTTAAGGTAAGCTTAGTTCAGCTTACCTCTCCTGCTCCCAGGACAAGTTCAACACAAATTGGTGACTTTTATTTTGGTCATCGGTGAAAAGACAATGACTTTATTTCCCTCTGGTGTGTTTACAGTCCTTCTGTCCATTTCCCCCAGAATGTAACCGGGAGACTCATGGTGGGCCTCCGCTGGTGGAACCAGATAGATGAAGATGGGAAAAGCCACTGGATTTTTGAAGCCAGAAAGGTATTGTCCATTACGAGTCAAACTCGAACCAGGAAAACGGCTGTGGAAAGTCTTCAGGGGTCCCTTCTGGGCTTTGTGCAGATTGGATTCCCGCCTAGGACTGAGCCCACGGCTGCGGGGGCACCACCAAAACTAGCGGGTAGCAGAAGTCCGCGGATGAGAAGCCAAGAGGACCGCGGGCTGCTCTGCGACCGTTTTTACTCATTTTGAACACGGACTCTTTCTCCCTTTAATAGGCCTCTCCGAATCAGATCGCTGCCACAGAGGCTGAAGCTCGCATCTTCTGGCTCGGCCTCATCATCTGCCCACTCATTTGGATCGTGTTCTTCTTTAGCACCTTATTCTCCTTGAAGCTCAAGTGGCTGGTAAGGCGATGCCCTGACTCGGATGGTGCTTTGCCATCTGCACAGACCAGGGTTGCAGGAGTGGGTTTTTTTTTATCTGTCCGTTGATTTGAGACCGCTTTGCTGAGGTCGTTGACATACCATAAGAGTCCACCCATTTAGCACGTGCAATGCAGGGGGCTTCTAGTATGTTCAATGTGTGGTCGTCACCACAGCCCATTTTAGGATATTTTCAGCACCCCCAAAATGAGCCCTGTACCCCCTAGCCATCACCACCTCCAGCGTACTCCCTCCTTCTGTTCCAACACTCACCTATTCTAGACGTTGCCTGTAACTGGAATTCTTAAGTGAAAGAAGATTACAAACGATCACACTAAACACCGAATTTCAAGGTTCATCTGTGTTGTAGCATTTATCAGTTCTTTTTTTAATGGCTGCGTAATATTCCATCCTATGGACATGCTGTATTGTTTCTCCATTCATCCGCTGATGGACATTTGGATGTATCTTTTAGACTCCTATGAAGGATGCTGAGAGGAGGTGTAAGCAAAATCATGTGATATCCTACCGTAGAATGTTTCTAAATAGGAATAAGCAAGCCTGAGGTCTGAAGTTTTATTTTACAGGTCTTAAGTACGCTCGAGACCCAGCATGGAGCCTAACGCAGGGCTCAAACTCATGACCCTGAGATCAAAACCTGAACTGAGACCAAGAGTCGGATGCTCAACTCACTTTGCCACCCAGGCGCCCCTATTTATTACTCTAATTGCTGTGATCTGGCTGCTTCAGTGAGAAAACATCCACAGATGGTATAAGTAGCAGCATAATCAAAAGTGGGGGCCCCCATGCATCAGCTCTGGGACTTGGGGCAACTGTCCTTTCTCTGGGTTTCTTCCCTCCCTACAAAATGGGATAATGGTACCACCCTCTTGGGTTGTTGCTGACTAAAAGGTGTCTGTGATTATTTGAGTGCTCACGAAAGGTTGGCTGTTACCAGGTACAGGCCAGAGCCACTGCTATGTAGTTTGGGAGGAAAATTTCAATACGTGCTCTTAGAAGAACGACCTTTGCTTTGCGTGCAGGCCCTTGTGATAGCTGGGATTTCTCTCCAAGCCGCTAACCTGTATGGCTACATCCTTTGTAAAATGGGAGGTGAGAGTGACATCAGCAAAGTCACAGCCCGTTTTCTGTCCCAGACAGTGTTCCAGACGGTGAGTTACTGAGCTCTTACTCCTGGACCCCTGTGCTCCAGATGCTTTAAGTGTAGGTGGCCTACTGGCAAATGCGATTTTAACGTTTTCCCTATCAGCTAGGCTGCCAGGGTCAGTGTTGTGTGTTTGTGTGTTAAAAGAGGCACAACGTAAAATAGACCACTTTAACCATTTCTAAACTAGTCAGTGGTGTTAAATATACTCGTGCTTTCATGCAACCATCACCACCGTCCTTCACCATACTTTCTCATCACCCCAAACTGAGATTCTGTCCCCATGACACAGTAACTCCTGGTCTCCCCTCCCCGGCCTCCCACCATCTATTTTGCTCTATGAATCGGACTCTTCTAGGGCCCTCACATAAGTGGAATCCTACAGTATTGGTCCTTTCGTGATTGCCACTGTTAGTTTTGAGTTAAAAACTGCAGCATTAAGTACTATACCCACAGAATTCTTTTAACCTAGCATTTATTTCTAGAAGTGTGAGATCTTTTCAATTTGACGGTTTGAGCCATCTTAAAATTTAAACAGTATTACCTTATGCCAAGACATTAAGCAATGAGCCCTGTGGGCTTTCGGTTACGTTGTGAGTTTGCTCTGGCCCTTGCATCAGCAGAATCAGGCCCCTCCTGTGTGAGGACAAAGCCACAGTTGACTTTTCTCCTTGTAGGCCAGCCCAAGCAACTTCCAGAAGCCTGGCCTCGAGGGGCTGGAGATTCACAAGCATTAGGTGAGCGGCGGGATGGGGGGGGGGGGGGGGGCTCAGCTGTGCCAGTGGGCCAGGGCGCACGGCGGGGTGGGAGCCAGCTGGGGGGCCTGGGCACGGGGCCCTCTCAGGGCTTCCTGGCCCCCTCCCTCTCCTCCCATGAACATGTGCAAATTTGACCATGGGTGCAGGCACAAAGAGAGGGGGAAGGAAAGGAGAGGAGGGTAAGGAAAGGAGAGAAAAGGAGGGGAGGGGAGGGTAAGGAAAGGAGAGGA